TCATGTTGAAAATGGCGCTGTTTTTTTTTTTTTTTTTTTTTTTTTTCCCCACATGCCAAGTGCATTGATTCCTGTCTGATGAAAAAAAAAAAAAAGAACAAAAAAAACTCACTAAAACAATCTAAAACAATGCACAGATTATTTTCAGCATGATTTAGTGGCTCATCTACAAGGATCTTGACTGGCTTAACTAAATGGTTGGTGCTCACTCGTGTGTGGAAAAGGCCTTGGTGTCTTTTGGTGCACATTATTTTATTTAACCTAAACACAATTTAATCTTGGAGAGTTAAAAAGCAAAAGTTTAAGCTGATGTCTCACAGCTTGAGATAATAACTGCTGGAAAAATCGTGCAAGCTATCTCGTTTTTTGGGCAAAATGTTTTGTTTCAGTGAAGCTACCATGTTTAAATATTTTTGGATGCAAATTTCTGGAATTGTTACTTGGAACAAAGCTGTTCTTTTAAACACAGCTACAGCTTAAAATGAAAACAGAAGGTGGGAAAAAAAATTATTGGATAAGCCTTGAGTAAAGCAAAACTTTCAATTCTAAGCGAAAGAGAACATTGATTTTTAAGACAAATGAACCATTTTGCTTGATTTCTTGCTTAGAAGAAGTTTAGGTTTTGGATCATCCAGAATCATATTCTTTCCCCTACTCTTTTTATTCTGGAAGAACCATCAAACCAAAAGAAAACAGCATTCATATGACTTCATTTAGAAGGCTCAACCACCCTTTCATAGCTCTTCTGCAGAATACTTTTCAGAAGTGCCAGAAATGCCACCAGAATAGGGATGTTTAAGCAGAATTAAACAACATTATGAATTTTGAAGGGAGTTTAAGACCCTCTAATACAGAAAATAAGTAAAACCATGCCACTATGACTTTAGGCGTATAAATGTATGGCAGCAGAACAAGCCAGACTCTTTTGTTATGTGCTGAATATGCAATGGACTGTCTTGGGGCTTTCACATCCTAACGAGACAGCTTGAATTAGCAGCTGGTTAGTTTTTAAGCCAGACAGCTCTGTCAAAAGGGCACCGTGAGCTCCATGGCAGGGAAGGCGCTGGGGGAGCCCAGGGAGGAAATCGGACCCTGCAGGAACTTCACGTCCCCGTGTCAGGGCAGAGCCAGCAACCGGCTGCTGCTGAGATGTTGTGACAGAGGAGATGATGGCCCAAACTGTTTTCTGGGAGGAAAGGGGTTGTTTTTGTGAAGCAGATCCTGAGATGAGCAGTCAGACCATGCCCTAGAGACACGGTGCATGGGGACTTACTGTGTGGGCTTGGGAGCAGAAGCATCAGGAGAAGTTGCAATCAAGGTGGGGAAGGGTGATGAGAAGTGAGTGCGCCAAGGTGAACATACACCATCAAGGGTAAGGGGAAAGGTTGTGGCAAGGTTTGGCACCAGTTCATGAAGCAGCAGTGTGAGCACAAGAGAGTGACAGTATGCTCATGACTTCTCCTGCCCTATTGTGTTGGTGGGGTCTCTGGTTTGCAGGATGCAAGAGCACAGGGCAGCCCCGGGACACCACTTACGTTTCCCTGGGCAATAGCATCTGTCTTTGGCAGAGGACAGGTCCTTACCACTGGCATCCATTCGAGAGAGTTCAGCAAGGCAGGAAAGCAGGGATCCAGCTAAACCTTTAGCATCCCTCCTGACTAGGTCCTCCTTCAAATCTCTGCTGTTTGATCTTTAAGCATTTCCACCTGGAGACCCATACAACAGCTACAACAACCTCCCCTGCTCCTACGTGCAATTCTGTCTGTAGCTGTGAGGACGTGAGCTTGGAGAAAGTCTGGACATGCTGCTGTTCCCTTGCCCAGCCTCTCAGTCCCTTAGGATGTTCTCGGTGGGCTTGAGCCAGTTTCCCTGCTGTGAGTGGCCAGTCTCAACTGGAGATCTTGCTGAACATCTATAGAAAAATAGAAAGTATAAAAAATAGAAGAAGGAAAAGGATAGAAATGTCTATTAAAAAAGGAAGTGAGAGCACAAAAGATTTCAAGGGAGAAATCTTGACTATTAAGCCAAACCATGCCAGCAGTCAGCCAAGCCATGTAACAGCCAACTCTGCTATCCATGGAGGCATTGTACTGCACGACGTTGCAAAAGATGGGACTACTGCCACTCCTACACTCTTGCTTGATAAAGAAAATCTGTAGCGGAGGGAGGGATAGAAACAGCTTTCCTAAGCCTCTGAACAGTCTGACTGTGACAAGAAAACCCAGATAGGAGACATTCAAACAACTGACCCAATGGAGCAGACATCATCTACAAATGGGCAAGGGTTTGTGGGGCTGCAAAGCAAGGTTGACGCAACAGGGTTGGCTGGGAGCAAAGAGGACTGCAAGAAGTCGAGTCCCACCATCACATAAAAGTAAAGAGACACTTCAAAGTGACCAAAGAGTCTACACTAAAATAAGGAAACCAGACTTTTTTTTTTTTTTTTTTTTAAAAAGGATATATCATTTAGTGTATTTTTTTCAAGCTTGCTGGACATCATACTGAAGCACTGTAAAGCTGTCAGAGAAATGATATACTTTTTTTCTCTTGTCGACCAAAGCGTGCTTTTATGGAGTCAATTAGCCACAAATTATGAACACACATCGCTTGTCTGAGAATGGATTACAGTACAACCCAATAAACATAGCTGTCTTTGCTCACTGGTCATTGCCCTGATGAGGAGGACGTTGGACTTTCCTATCCAACCATAAAGGAAACTTCACGTTCATTTGTGTTTCGTTCTGCAAGTGCTACAGTGTGAGGGGAAACAGGGTCATTGGTATTCCTGCTCTGACGTGCAAACCCGGACATGAGCTCAGTGTGTAAAATGCAATAACATCAGTGGAAAGAGTTTGTATAAGCTGGGATGGCATGACTGCTTAGATCTACAATGGAGCCTATAGCTGCTGTCATATTCTGTAGAGAAGTGCAGCCAACATCATCTCTACACAGTATATTGTGTGCTCTCCACAGACCTCAGAGCCCTTTGCGAAGGTGGAGAGCTACAGTCTTACCAAGTTTTTAGGGTTTTTCTTTGTTTGTTTGGTTGGGAGAGTTTCTTTTCCTTCCTTTTTTTTTTTTTAACAGGTGGGGAAATTGAGGCACAGAAAGGTGGTACGACTTGCCCACAGTTGGTGGTAGACCTTGAACCCCCCTGGTCTTGCTCACGGCTTTTTCAGCTCCCACCTGGGACGTGGTGAGAAGGAAGGGCTGCCCACTTGTTCCTGAGGCGAGGAGAACCGCAGCTCCTCCCGGGGCGAGGGGAAGGGGTGTCTCTCTCAGCGGCAATGTCTGTTGGGGGGCGGACAATGGCACGCATGGTGTCCCGAGAGGCAAGAGAAGCAAGGAACCTGAAATGGAGAGGCAGGAGGTCATTGGTCAGGCACTGGGCGAGAGGACGTGGCTCTACAGGATGCCTTCGTGCCTCTCCGTGGCCTTCAGGGCTTCATGCATGCTGGCGGCCGAGAGCCTCCTGTTGATGTTCCTGTACCTGCACCTCAGGAGGTTCCAGAAAGTAGTCCTCAAGTCTCGGTTAAAGAAAGCGTAAATCAAGGGGTTGATGAGGGAGTTGGTGTATCCCAGCCAGAGCAGGGTCCTCTCCAGCCGCAGGGGCATACAGCTGCAGCGGATGCCGCAGATGAAAGGCGGAGCCGTTGACATCAGGAAGAACGGGAGCCAGCAAAATGTGAAGGCCCCGACAATAATGCCGAGGGTCCTGGCTGCTTTCTGCTCCCGTTTGAAGATGGAAATATTCTTTCGGTCTTGCCGGAGCAGTTTGGAGAGCGTGGCGCATTCCTCCGCCGCTTTGGTCCGCTTCGAGCTGTGCTGGCCCCGGCTGGAGGCTTCCAGGCAGTAGACTCCTTCCTCTTCATAGTGCTTGGGGAAGTTCATGAAGCGGTGCTTCTCGGCGCTGACCTTGGCGGCTTTGTAGATCCGGCTGTACATGACGAGCATGACCGCCATGGGGATGTAGAAGGCCACCCCTGTGGAGTAGACGGTGTAGCCAAAGTCCTGGCTGATGAGACAGACTCTTTCCACTGTGACATTCTTGGCCCAGCCAAAAAGAGGAGGAAGGGTGATGGAGGCAGATAGGAGCCAAACGATGAAGACCATCTTGGCCATCAGCTTCCCATTTTGTCTCACGGGGTACGTCAGCGGCCGAGTGATCCCCAGATACCTGGAAAAAAGAAGAGTTGCAAAGGGTTAGGAGGGTTGCAAGGTGTGTGTGCTGTTGGGGAGTTTTCGTTCCTAAGTTAGTGGTCCATCACAGGAGAATTTTGGCCCTGGGTAGGACAAGAAATTGATTCACCAAATGAAAATGTTCCCAGAAATGTGCAGCTGCTGTATCTTTTGTGAAACACATTTCACACCCCTCCAGCTCTCTTGCCTAAACACTCTGTTCAGACTCTACCCTGCTGATTTCTTGCAACCACCCTGTGCATGACCCAAGACATCACTTAACTGCGGAGTGCAGCCTGAGCTCCACGTGGCTTCCTGGTGAACAAAAAAATGCTTAAAAATAATTCTTAGTTTTCCACCAGAACTAGTGTGTACAGAGAACACACAACAGCTTCCAGCCATGGCATGTAACTCACTCCAGAGTGTTGCCCTGTTCCCAGGGAGACACCTGGGAGTGGGATGGGTGATCCACAGGGTAACTCTTCCACTGGGATACATCAGGACAGACTCCAGATCCAATGCATAGACTCATACTGGTGTTTAATGGGAAGTGGGAAGGACAACACCTTTCTCTTATTTGTCCAGACAACTTGGGAACTCGAAAAAGACATCCAAGCTGCAGCTGAGATGCCCCTGAAGCAGTGTGGGAGCAAGGAATAATCTTGGCTTTGGGAAGACGTAAGAATGTGTCTGGATGGGTATGGCCCGTAGCTCCTGGAGTGATGGTGTCCAGCCCTCCCGTGAGAGTAAAATGAGAGGAACGCTTTTGAGATCCCAAAAGCATGTGGTGACCCACAGATGCATAAATCTTGGTGCCTGGAGTAAGGAGTTACCTTGTTAGCTCGACTGAAAGGAGCTGGAGACTGCATCAACCATCTGGTTAGACCACAGGGTGTAATTTTGAACCATCCCCCGCCTTGATCGAGAGGGTCCGCGTGACTAAGAAATTGTGTCAACTGTTAGTCAGTAAATTACAATTGTAAACTAATAAATCCGTAGGGAGTTGGCCACTGTCAGCCAGTGTTCCCACTGGAAAACATCTGCCAGCTATTCAGTCTGAATCAACCCAGGAAAAAAAACCAACAAACCAAAAACCTTCTAGCTAGTCATATGGATTCCTTTTATGTTACAGCCTTTTTGATTCAAACCTGCCTGCTGTCAGGAATTTGTAGGCATTTTTAGGTGGGATCATATCACATCTTAATTGTTCTTGGATAAACTGTGTCAGTCCAGAGGGGCAGTGAGAACAGCGGCTGTAGGGATACTTTTTGCTGAAAGCTGTTCAAGGGAAGAACAGCCTTTTCTGCCAAAAAGGAAAATTCCTGCAGAGAATTTTACCTCTGTTGTATAATTATTTATTTTTTTCCTGACAATCAGTCTCATTGTAGGTGTTAGGAGACTTTTTCTTCTTCCCTGATTCCAGAACCTCCCCCAAGACTGGAAGAAGATGGAAATAAAATAAGAAAAAATCCAATTCCTCCTCTCCTCCTGACTGCTAAATAAATTCAAAGCCCAAAATATTCTCCCCTGACTCTCTGATAAAATGAATTTGAATTCATTCACTGAGTTATTATTTTCCTATTTTCCTCTGCATTTTCTTCAGCTGACCTCACCTACAAAAGCCGACCAAAACTCTCCATGACCACCTACCTATGCTGCTTGAATGCCCAGCAGTGGTACAGGCTGAAGGACAACATTCACGGATGTAAAGTCAATGCAAACTCTTGGGATGGGAAAGGGCTTTGAAACCCATCACCCCATGGGGCCCCGTCTAAGAAGGAGAAGACCTGGTGAGACGGAGCTGGACAGCAGGGCTGGTATTGATGCTGTGCTTCCAAAACATACCAACTCCTCCTTCCTACCTGGGCTGGAAGATCAGGACTCAGAATCATGGATGGAGGGATGCTGCCAAACATCCCTCCTGCTGTAGGATGGGGCTAATGGAGGGACAATAGGCTTGAAGTCCCATAGGCTGGGAGAAAATCATGTCCCTGCTTTTGCGTCTCCAAATTCAGCACCCAAAAATCACTTCTCTGTATATCCAAGCCAAGAACTTTGCAAACTAATATATGCTGTGTTGTGTGATCTCCTTTATTATGCTATTACTGGGTTTTCTTTAGAAGCCGATCCACTCGGGATTTGCTGAAACTTCAAGGAATTTACACGCCAGCCAAGCAAAATGCACAGTGACAAGATTTAAAAAGCAGGCAAAGCTGACACATTTCATCTGCGGGTGCCTCGTGCAGTCGCTGCTGGAGGAAACGGGGCCGTTTTGAGGTCTTTGCTTGTAATTTTGACGAGAGTGGGAAGACCTCAAAATAGGCCAGCGTTTACAGCAGTGCGGGAGGCGAGATTGCACAGACGTGATGAAATTCAAACCAAATTCGCTTGCTTTGATTTTTTTTTTTTTTGTGTGTTGTTGTTAATCAAGTTTAGGGATAATCAGGTAACAAAAGCCAGTATGGAGAGCAGCAATTTACTGGTGGTTTGTGGGGCTTTGCTGGACCCCCGCCATGCAGAGCGGATTGTATAGCCACCCATCCCTTGTGCAATAAACCCCTTCCACGTCCTCACTCCCATGGATGCTGAGCAGCCCAAGCTCTGGCCATAGGGTAGGAAAAACTCCACCATCAACCCCATGGATTAGCCAATCCAGTTAATTTATTCTTTGCTCGATGGTAATAATTGAATCCTTATGCCAAGGATTAAACAATCAAGAAAAGCAAAACCTCTCCAAGGTGCCCCTATCTCCATTCTGCAGCTGGCAAACTTGGAAAGGATGAACCTCCGCTCACACAGGTTGGCTGAACCCAAAGGAGCCCAGAATTGGAGTTACCCAAGCCCCTCTGTTTTACCACAATCCCATCCCTCCTCTGGGCCAAATTTAAGCTCCATACCTGGCGTCCAAGCTGATGCCATGCCTGTCC